CTCTGCATTGGCCCCTGGGTGGTCCTATAACATAATCCTACTGCAAGCTTGCTCTGCATTGGCCCCTGGGTGGTCCTATAACATAATCCTACTGCAAGCTTGCTTTGCATTGGCCCCTGGGTGGTCCTATAACATAATCCTACTGCCAGCTTACTCTGCATTGGCCCCTGGGTGGTCCTATAACATAATGCTACTGCCAGCTTACTCTGCATTGGCCCCTGGGTGGTCATATAACATAATCGTACTGCCAGCTTCCTCTGCATTGGCCCCTGGGTGGTTCTATACCATAATCGTACTGCCAGCTTACTCGGCATTGTCCCCTGGGTGGTCCTATAACATGATCGTACTGCCAGCTTACTCTGCATTGGCCCCTGGGTGGTCCTATAACATAATCCTACTGCAAGCTTGCTTTGCATTGGCCCCTGGGTGGTCCTATAACATAATCCTACTGCCAGCTTACTCTGCATTGGCCCCTGGGTGGTCCTATAACATAATCCTACTGCAAGGTTACTCTGCATTGGCCCCTGAGGATCAGATGACCTCATCGCCCTGCCAGCTTTTCATTGCATTGGCCCTCGTTGATCACATGACACCTTCCCTCTTCAGAGTTTTTATCACATGACCCATTTTTTTCTATCTCCATTTGTCGTCTACCAGGTGCTGCAGAGTTTCAAGATCATGGACTACAGCTTATTGGTCGGCGTCCACAATATGGACCATGCGCAGAGGGAGCACGCGGTGACGGATGGAATGCAGGCCGACACGCGCAGACCACTCACGCAGAAGGCCCTGTATTCCACCGCCATGGAGTCCATCCAGGGAGAGGCACGACGAGGGGGCCCCATCGAGACAGATGATCAGTAGGTCACTTTGTATGCCCCCTATGGTGTTATAGAAATCTGTAGGGCCAATGGGCGACATACTAAATAGGAATGCACCGATACCTGTTTTTCGGTATCCCGTACCGATACTTTGCTTTCGGTACTCGCCGATAAAGAGTGCCGGTGCTTCCGCTGTCATGGAGCCGGCTTCCCGGGCAATCTGATTGCCCGAGAAGCTGGCTCCATGTTGTCTAGCTGGCTCAATGTTGATAGGCTGGGAAGCCGGCTTCTCGGCCGGGAGAAGGGAGGCGAGTTATTATTCGCCGCCCAGCTTTCTGATTGCACGGGAAGCTGGCTCCACGTTCCCCTATGGCAAGGCCGGTCAGAGGAAATCTTCCTCTGACCGGAAGTTTCGGTATCGGAGCATTTGGACGTGTATGAGTACTCGCCCAAATATTTGGTATCGATACTAGTATTGGTGCATCCCTACTAAATAGTCTGATGTCCTCAAACTGTCATAGTGTCGCCATGCCTCTTACCGCTGGGTACACATATATACATTTCAAATTTGCCTTTTGCATGGTACCCGCCGTCATTACCATGCGACAGATGAGGAAATCTGATCCGGGGGGGGGGGAAAACTGCTCTGCTCCCAAAATGCATTGGGTGCTTACCTTACCTTGCCCTGCCCCAAGCATAGTAATGTAAGTCAACAAGCTGTTTCGGAGGATGTGGGTAGTCTCCTAGTTTTAATGGCAGTATGACTTTTCTTCCCCTAGGATGGGCGGTATACCAGCTCGCAATACCAAGGGAGAGCGCCTCCTGCTCTATATTGGAGTCATTGACATTTTGCAGTCCTACAGGTCAGTAGCAAACTGCTCACACTTCCTCCTCAGCAGGGAACCTCTTCCCTGTATCCACCACTCCTCAGGGGTGGAGCCAGAAATTCATGCCCGACTCTATCATCTGCTCTCCGCAGGTTCATCAAGAAGCTAGAACACTCCTGGAAGGCTCTGGTTCACGATGGGGTGAGTGACCTGGGAGGGGGCCGGTGGGTAGGACATTAGAGTGTAAGCTCCTGATGCAGACACAGATGTCAATGGTTCAGTGTTATCTGTACAGCGCTGCGGCATATAACAGAGCTATATAAAAGTAATATGTGTGACGTGTAAATAAAACCTGCGTTCTGTTTGCCTTCAGGACACGGTTTCCGTTCACAGACCCGGATTTTACGCAGAGCGTTTCCAAAAGTTTATGTGTGCCACGGTGTTTAAGAAAATTCCACGTAAGTTCTGCTGTTGCGTGGCTGGGATCATGGCGAGTTGCGATTGGCTGACTCTAGACCTTGCCGCAGTCCGTGTAACCTCCGGCCCTTTGTTTACAGTGAAAGCCTCGCCATCGAAGAAGAGCCGGACAATGCCAGGGGTGACACGCAGAGCGACCCAGGCTATGATCCCCACCCAGCTGCAGCTGTCTGATGAAAACAAGCAGTACCTGGGGCCAGAGGCGGAGTCGGACCAGGGTGAGACTCCTCCTTCCTCTCTGTCCTCGCGCTGCAGGATGCCTCCCTCCCCAGAGACTGACTTTCCTCTCCATGCAGGCGCTCTGTATGGGCGGCCAGATGTACTGCCTCGGACGCCTCCTGTAGACGAAGCGGCAAGTGATTCATTGGCTACCACCCTGTCCACATCCTCGCTGGGCAGCGGCGGCCTGAACTCTCCTGCACACAGGTAGGTAACTCTGCGGTGACATCGCTTTCCCAGTTGAGGGGGAATGGAGATGTTGGCAGCTTCTGGACTTTCCGTTTTGTCTTGTAGGTCGGTGGGGGTGGAAGTGCACAAAGCTGAAGCGACAGAACAAGAATTGTACATGCGGGAGAGGTATGAGACGGAGATTTACAGTGTGTGGGGAAGGAAAGACCTGGGTCCTTGGAGGGAGAGAGTGAAGACCTGGGGTCCCTTGTTGGGAGAGAGTGAAGACCTGGGGTCCCTTGTTGGGAGAGAGTGAAGACCTGGGGTCCCTTGTTGGGAGAGAGTGAAGACCTGGGGTCCCTTGTGAGGGGGGAGAGGTGGGTCCCTGGAGGGTAGAGTAGGCGTGGGGCCCTTGGAGGGTAGAGGTGGATCCTTGGAGGTAGGGGGGTGGGTCACTGGAGGAGGAGATGGTAGGCAGCATCTCATTGATCTGTTATTGTGTCACCAGACCAGAGTCGGGGAAGACAGGAGAAGAGGAGGATGAAGATGACGGAATTCTGGACCCCAATCAGATAGAGACGGAGATCAGCTTTGTACGTATCCCCTCTCCCCTCCATCCTATATCTGGCCCCTGAGCCCATTTCCCCCTCAGCCTAATATGTCTCTATCTCTCCACAGTGAGATGGGTTCCGCTGTTTAAGACGTTTCACTCCTGGACCGCTGGAGCTTCCCACGGCCTCTGACTGGTCCGCGCTGCTGAGCTGACGTCCAGACTTGACCAGCGCTGCAGTATGTGTGGACGGGGGGAGGGGCCCGGCGCCCGCCCCCCTTCCTTTATCACTGACAGGACGCTCTGCCACCACCATGCCCATGGTGAATGTTACAAGCGGGGAAGGGGTGCCTCCTCTTCTGATTTGCCTTACCCTTCACGAGGAGCTCCCCTCCTCCCGCTCTCCCCTCCCCTCTTTGTTTTTTTTCCTGGATTCACCTTTTCCTATTTAATCTATTTTTTTTAAGTAGACAAGTTACCTGGGACTTCTGCTGTTCTTGATGCTGCGTTGAGTAAACTCGGACCAAAAAAAAACAAAAAAAACTGAGAAAGCATTTGCTGCCTAATTTTTGGGGTCACCACCCCTCACCCCTCTACTCCCACTCCAGCGTGACAAGCTGTGACCTCATCATACGGTGTTACCATCACAATTTACCTCCTCCAATCAATCGTTACCGTGGAGCTGGTGTAACCAAACCCCCTTTGCTGTGTGCCAACTTCTTCTCCTACCTGAGGCGTCCTCCCGGATCTGCAGCCGTCACCTTCCTTGTCATTTTAATCTTTGCAATAATTTGGCCCCGCCCCTGCCCATCTCATCTCTCCACCCCTGCGGGGCCTCTCAAGCTTCCTTTTGGATTTTAGCCACATTGGGACACCTTTTTATGCTTTTTTTTTTTTTTTTTACTGTTACAGCTTAGCGTGTGCGGCCATCACAGGGCGCCGGTAGGGTTAATGGCGACTCCATCCTTCGCAGTTTTTAGAAATTGGACCGGGGATACACGAGAAACGCACGTGGGTGAATTTTGGGTGTTTTTAGGGCATCTGAAAGTGACAAAATAGTTTTTTTTTTAAATACTTTTTAATTTTTTTGTTGACAAGAAAGCTTTAATGTATGTTTCAAAACGCACAATTATAGGTGGAAATGCTGCACGCCAAATGCGGCCTTAGAGCGAATCTCCAGCTGGAGTCCCCATTGGAGAGAATGTCCCTTGCTTCCTGTCCTGGTGCCACCAGGTCAGGAGACGAGAGTGTATGAATATAGCCGCACACTGCTGCTGAAAGGTAAAAATCTGCTCATTGTTCCAGCACATCAGAGAGCAGCAAGCACCGATGTTGATGCGTTTCACTCCCTACCAGACATTTTACGGTTTGTTTGTTTGTTTTTTGCAATGAGGCCCCACTAGGGGGTGAAATGCATCAGCGGTGCTGATGTGGAGTGTTCACAGATGAAAGCTGATTTTAGTTTACTGGAACAGCGTTGTGCAGCTTTATTCATACGCTGACATGTGTGGCAGGAAGCGGATTCTGGAGGGGGCGAGTACCCAAAGCAGCAGCAGCAGCATAACCCTAAAGCGGTACCGAAGGCTTGAGAGGGTGCGCGTTTCACTGCAACAGGAAGAGTCAGCAGTATGAACTTGTCCGGTGTTCTAATCCTACTGTATAAATGTGCCTTGGATGCTGGCTCTGTCCTGGTGTCACTGTGACAGGAAGTGAATGTAAATCTCTGTAGGGACACCCTGACAGGATATAACCTCCCCTTTATACAATGTTGGCTGGAGTTGGGATTTAAAGGGCCACTACAAGAATGATCGAGTCGGTTTAAATGAAAGATTTTAATCGAGGGGAACAGAAGACGGGGGTGGTAAAGGAGGTACAGTGGCGGAGAAGGGGAACATTTTTCCTGCACCCACTCGACTTCCTGTCAGTTATCCCCATTGAGAAGAATAGGAGCATATCACAAGGCCAAAACACCCATGTGAGACGCGTTAGGTGAAAGCTGACATCCCTCGGCAGGCAGCAAAGTTGTACCTGGTCAGCTTGGAGCGGAGCAATGTCGCCGCCCTAAGCCGGAGGGTCTGGAACGAGTAGAAATGGGGCGTTCAAAAAGTCAGTCGGTTTGCGATGAGGCACAACGGTTCCGATGAGGCCGCTGTCAACAAAGAAGGGGTCCCTCAGGCTGTGGAGGGGCAGATTTGGAGGTTCACGGGTACAGAGAGTAATGAGGGCACCAAACAAAGTTAGTCTAAGAATCCAAAAACTTTTAAGATCCGTGTTGGTTCACAAATGGTAACATAAAAGCGCTGACGCGTTTCGAGGGCTCAAAGACCCCCCCCCCAACTAGACATGGACAAGTACAGATTATAAAAATAGATCTCTATAAGATAGCGCCATGGCCGCACACGCTGGCGAAGTTGTGGGGCGGTTGTGTCCCCCCCTTTTTTTATGTTTGTTTTTAAGCTGCTAGACTTGGGAACCGAACGACTCTGCCCTGTTATCTACCAGACCCCACCCCCTTATTTCCTGAGCCCCGCCCCATCATACCCCCTAGACTCCG